CTGAAGTTGTGACTCAAAGGAGTATAGACTCAAATTCGGGGAAAGGAGAGAAAGGCCAAAAGATAAAATGATAATGAGAAAGGTTAAATATACGAATAAAGCTCTTTCTTATTAAATGAGAAAGGTTAAATATACCTTTTGTTATGCAAATATTGACCCTTAATTTTTCAACTTTCCTCACTTTTTTATCTTGGGTCCTTTCTCTTCTTTTCTTGTTTTGGGTCTATAATCCTTTGAGTCCCAACTCCAGCTTTATTTAGTACTCCTTCCAGCGTTGCAAGATTTGGCTACTTTGCGCCAAATTTGGCTACCCTTTTATTAGTTTGGCGTAAAAAATATTAATTGACTTATTGGCTACTTTTTGGGTTACACATTATTCATAAATATATTAGTTGAATAAAAATGCACTTTAAAATGGTGTTTCGTCACTTTTTATTAATTACAGACCCAAATAAAACAAATATTTGTGTTTTTCAAATAAATTTTTGTTTATCTCCTTTATAATAAATGAATTTAATTATTTCTAAATAAAAATTGAAAGTGTCTGTAGAAGTAATTTCTTAAAATATCCTTATTCGTAATAAAGTTTTAATGCTTATTACTATAATCTAGACATATTAATCCTTAAATATGTACTTGTATATTTAAGGATTGGGCCAAAATATACTTAGGCCACAAGTATATATATTATACTTGTGGCCCAAAACTCCATGACTTCTTCCAATGTTGCCCAAAGAAACAAAAAGGTTGGACACCCCTGCTCTAGAAGATATGTCGAAAGAAAAATTTAAAAGATAGTTGACAATTGACAAGAAAATTTCTGTGTCTGATACGATCCATCATCAAAAATACACGAAATTGTTAATGAAGAGAGCTCTGATGAATTATTTGATTAAAATGAAGAAAATCAACACGAAGATAGTCAAATATTTAGATACGAGAAGTACAGTGTACAGTGCAGATGTGTTGGGTTTCGAAAACACGAATATGAATGTTTTATTAACGAAGTATTCAGATGGATTTCGGACTATTCGAGTAATTATTTTTATAATTAAACTTTCAAGTTGTTTTTTAAATTTATTTCTAAACGTTTTTTTAATGTTTTAACATGTTTAAATTAAATGTTTAAATTTTCTTATTCAATAAAACCAGAATTTCCACTAATTGCGATCGAATTATATTCATCGTATAGTGTTATCATTCGGTTATTGTTCTCAATCCAAAAGTGACTGAAATAAACGACATCTACTGTATCTGATGTTCAGTAAGTTAATTTCTATTTCAGGTAGGTTTTCTCATTAATATTTTAAACTGAAGAAAATAATTCTGAAATAAAGAAATATTTTAATTTCGTGTAGTTTCTAAATAGAGCTGAAAAAAATTATAATAAATTAAAAACAGTTATTTTTTATTAATAAATGAAAATGATATTTAAGCCTATAATAAATAAAAAAAAAGATTTACTATACTTTTTATATATTTTAATAAAATATTATTCTATTAAATTTGAAAAGTTTAACTCTATAAAAATTGAGAAAGAGCATTTAATTTAGAAAATGGACATTCTTATATCATTCAGATTTTAATGCAATTACGAGAAACAAGTTTTAATGGATGCTTGATTTTAAAATTCTATAATGATAAGAATAACAACTTGATTGTTTCATAGTCAAAATTAGATTTACGTGTCGCAATGTTGTCTAACTTACACCGAATAAAAATTATCAAAATTATTGTTATTAAAGGAATGATTAAAATGTGCAATCATTTTTCTATNAAAAAGTTAATTTTAAAACAGAAAAAAGATTTTATAATAATATTTAAATTATATTTTTAGGTCGTTCATGGGCAGCTACTACAACAGAGGGTCTTTTGATATATTCTCTTGATTGTACTCTTGTATTTGAACCATTTAACCTTGAAGAAGATATTACCCCTTCCTCAATACGACAATTGTTACAAGAAGAAAATTTTTCTGATGCCTTTATAAATGCACTTCGATTGAATAAACCTTCAATAATAATTGAAGTTATGGAAACTATTCCTGTGAATAATGGTCAGTAAGTTTATTATTTTATTTCTTAATATTACTGTACATTAGTTTTAAAATTTTTCTATTGTTATTTTTATAGTGGAAGTCATAGCTAAATACATGCCTCATATATATGTTGAAAGATTATTAAACTTTCTTGCTGATCATTTGGATAAAACAAAACATATTGAATTTTATTTGACATGGGTGAAAGAACTTCTCACTTCTCATGGAATCATGTTGAAAGAAAGATCATCCCAAATGTCATCTACATTTTGCACCTTACAAAAAATATGTATGCAATATATTGAAGATCTGGGAAAAATGTAAGTTTTTCTGTAACTAATAAAAATTCATTTTTATATCAATTTTGAAATGTGAATATGAAGAACATATTTTATTTATTCATATTCATACAAGATATTTAACTGTATTCTTTGTTAACACATGGAATTTATGCTATTATCAAGTTTCACTAGTGAAGAATGATAACTTATCTGATCCTAGTGTTAAGTTATAGAGGTAAAAATTAGATAATATGTATTTTTTCTTTAGAATAACACGAGTGTACAGAATGTTGAGTTACCAACAGTTGATTTTCTGAGACTCTACTCTATTCAAATAAAATTATCTGATTTTTTCATTATTATTATTTTTTATACTAATTAAAATTAGACTACACCTTCTCAAATTCAAACATGAAAGGAAATAAATATGTGACTTTAGAAGAAAATAAGAGTAACAAATATTTAAAAACTATGCACAGTTTTATGAAAGAAAACAATACAGTAGGAAATCGATTATCCGACCCCCGATTAACCATCACATCGGTTAACCGACCGTTCTAGTTGGCAAATTTCAAATGTTCGCTAGTGATGTGGCACTACAATATTTGGCTATGTCTTGGTTACTTTAATATTATTTTTGTTAAATTTTTGCATGTTTTAGCTGGCAACACGGCTCGACCATTGAAGGGAGGCATAAACTATGCTATAAACAAAAAATTGTAGGATTACTTACCGAGTGTGCACCGTTCGACTACGCCGTTGCTCAAGCTTGTTTTCGTCGCGGAACAGCACAC